TCCCCTGGACCCTGAAAACAACCTACCATCATAACCACCATCCCCCATTTTTTTCTGATTTTTCTGCTATTTTATTGCTATTTTTCCTTTACATAAGCACACATTTCCATATGTGGCAATGTGCCCTGGACCCTGAAAACAACCACATTTGGAAGTGCGCTTTTGGACCCTGAAAACAGTGAGCAAGCCGTGGGAATCAGTGAGCACCAAGGCTGGCTCTAGGGAGCTCAGCAAGGCTACCTTCCTGATTAGGAAGGTTGGTCAATTGACTGCTGTGATGCATAGGTAGACTTAGTCAATAGACTATATCTGATACATAGTACTGGCAGTATCAGGTGGACCACGATGACCCGAATGGCAACGAACGCCCACGAGTGCCCACCAACGACCACGAGTGCCCACCGATGTCCATGAGCGCCCAGGTGCCACGTCGCCAACAGCGACGTGGCAACCAAACGACGGACGACGACATTTCGTCGTCCGTCGTTTCTGTTCATATTATCACGGTGAGCAGCTCCAGCTCCATCCTTCGTCTCCAACCAACCCGCTAACAACAACCAGCGCTGACAAGCGGCGTGGCGACTCTGTGACACAGACGGACGACGACGACGATTACGTCGTCGTCGTCATCATATATTAAGATCGGTAAGTAAGTCCCTCCCCACCCAAATAACTCACGGAACACCACCACCGTCGACCGCCCACTGGCGGTTGACGTCTAGCACCCCCCACGTCACCATGCCACCCCTCCCAAAAGGGAAGGGCATGCCGCCCGTCAGGGGCCACGTCACGGCACGACACGACGTCAAGCAGCAGAGACACAATCAACGGTGCGACGAGGACACTGTAGGGTGGAAGACAGACCTCGACAACGACGAGGGCAGACACAGGAGTGACGACGACGATGAAGACACGCTGAGCGCTTGCCACCACCAGTCACACACGGCGACGAGGGCCAAATACCCCTCCATCACTGCCGTCACTCCCTCCCCCTATCTCTCACTCCCTTCCCCTCATACTCACTGCCCACCACCCCCCTTCCCCTCTCCCTCACTGCTCACCTCCTCCCCTCTCCCTCACTCCACCTTCACCCTCACTGCTCTCACTCTACCACCCTCACCCTCACTGCCCACACCCCCTCCCCTCACCCTCATTGCCCACCACCCCTCTCCCCTCACCCTCACTTCCCCCTTTCCTTTATATAATGTTCAATGTTGTAATACAAATTTATGTAGTTATATTCATAAATCAATAAACTGCACTTTCTCTTCTCACTTTGATTGGATAAGAAATGTTTGTGAAATATTTCTTATGGTATTTGGAAATGTTTACAAGTTCAAAGATCTTTGACTGGATAAGAAATCTTCTTCAAAATGTTTGTACTGACAAGAAATCTTTGTGAGATATTTCTTATTGTATTTGGAAATGTTTACAAGTTCAAAGATCTCTGACTGGATAAGAAATCTTCTTCCAAATGTTTGCACTGACAAGAAATCTTTGTGAGATATTTCTTATTGTATTTGGAAATGTTTACAAGTTCAAAGATTTCTGACTGGATAAGAAATCTTCTTTAAAATGTTTGTACTGACAAGAAATTTTTGTGAGATATTTCTTATTGTATTTGGAAATGTTTACAAGTTCAAAGATCTCTGACTGGATAAGAAATCTTCTTCAAAATGTTTGTGCTGACAAGAAATCTTTGTGACATATTTCTTGTCATATTTGGAAATGTTTAGCTTGCAAAGAATTCTTTCAAATAAATATTTGGGAGCAAGAAATGTTTTGCAAACTAAGAAGTCTTTATGAAATCTTTTGGATAGTTTTGACAAGTTAAGAAAGGTTTGAGTCTCTTTTATTTAAGTGGTGAACATGGCAGATAGAAGGGGGTGTTGGTGAAAACTTGTTAGTGTGGGCCATTGCTATGCATGGCATGTACAAGTCCAAAGAAATCTTTATGAATCTTTTGAATAGTTTTGACAGGTTAAGAAATGTCTTTTTAATGATGAACACAGCAGATAGAAGGGCGTTGGTGAAAACAGTGGGGGAAAGCTGCTGAGGGATGCTAACTTGGTTAAGTTTTAAATGGTGAACATGGCAGATAGAAGGGGGGTGTTGGTGAAAACAATGGGGGAAAGCTGCTGAGGGATGCTAACTTGGTTGAGTTGAGAAGTGGGATGTTGGTGAAAACAGACTTAAAGTGGTGAACATAACAGAGAGAAGCAGGGTGTAGGTGAATACAACCTTAGAGTGGTGAACATGACAGAGAGAAGCGGAGTGTTGGTGAATACAACCTAAGAGTGGTGAACATGATAGAGAGAAGTGGGGTGTTGGTGAAAACAGACTTAGAATGGTGAAAATGAGATAGAAGCGGGGTATTGGTGAGAACAAACTTAGATGAGTTTTGAGGGAAAAAAAAAAAAAAAGCAATGTACAAAATGATGAGAAAACTGCACCAGAAAAACCAAGTCTTTTTTCTGAAACTGGGACCCCAGATACCCCATGACACTGGTCAGATATGTTTGAGCCATGTGACAAGGCTAAAAGAATTTTCAGCAGTGTGACATGCTTAGAATATATCTGAGCGATGTCACACCACTGAAACATTTCTTGCCACTCTGGCACACTTCAAACATTTCTTACCAGTTTGACTTGACTCAAACATTTCTTACCAGTCTGACACACTTCAAACATTTCTTACCAGTCTGAACCCCTTCAAATATTTCTGACTACTTTCACTTGACTAGGATATTTTTGAACACAATTTATCTACCCAAACATTTCTGGTCACAATATTAAAGGTCAAACATTTTCCACCCAATCCAATATTATATTTTCTCCCAAAGGCAAAAAAATAAATGGCTGCACAACCCAAAATATGTGAAAAACATCAGCAGATGAAGCATGGATAGAATAGAACGCGAAGGAAACTTACAAGTGGTATCCACCAGCCGTTCATTGAAACCACTGACCATTTCCTCTGGGTCTTCATATCGAGGTGGAGGTATAACACTGGCAGTGAGGCAAGCTGCTTCAATCTCCTGATGTGAACGATAAAAGTGAGGAGGGTTGATGCCGCCATCTATATTATGAATTCAGATGTATGTGAGATGTGATTATAAGAGAAGCATTCCAATCCATGCCAGGTTGCGGAGCCAACCAGCTGAAGGCCTTCGTGGACTGATATTTGGGGTGGTTATGGCATCTATATCAACGTGGGTGGTAGCCATAGGCTGAGTAGAAGCTCGTTCCATAGCTTGGCTTGGAATTGAATGCGTCAGAATGAACGCTGGGTAGAAACCACAATTCCGATGCACATTTTATACCACCCTGCTATCTTAACCCTGCTAGATATTCTGTATGCCGGCCCCAAGTCCTACAAGGTATGTTGATTAGAATCGAGGGCGCTGAGGCCCAGGCATGGAGCTCACCTTGCCGTTGCCGTTGCCCTACCTTTGGCCAATGCAATCGATATTGCATCGCAACCAAAAAATCCCACAGTTGACGTTGTCGAAATCGAAGGACTCTACTTCGAGTGAACACAAAAAAGGGGAGGCACAAACAGAGTGTAAGTTGAGTGGTCACTGAAGATGTGGCGAAACGAGCAGGACGAAGGGTGGACGAGAGGAATACAGCTTGAAGAGAAGGCAAAGGAAGGTGAAGGATCATTGATGAAAGTTTTCTCCTGTTTGACACCGGTGTTGATGAGACAGCGTGTAAACACGAATATCGAATCTCGTCAGGGGACTGTGACAAAAAACCCTGAGGGTAATGGGTACAACAGAAGCAAACACGAAATTTACAATTCACGCGTGCAAACGGCAGTGAAAGACACTGTAACTGATAGTTCTATGCCTTGTAATGGTTGTATAGCTTAGTGGTAATAACGCTCCTCCCAGTTCCCACGATGTTTCCAGAGGCTATGGTTCAATCCTTGTTCATGTAATTATTTTTATGTTATTATAATAACAACTGCAATCACTGCATTTCTTCGGAATTCTTATGGAATGCATGGATTCCATCCTGGAATACACTTTCCATTGGCGTTCCATGGAATCTGGTTGGAATTCCAATGGAAACTGTTCCAGGAGGCTCCCGGATTCCAACCATTTCTGCTGGATTCCATCGGATTCTGTTGGAATTTCCATGGAATTGGAAACCAAAATGGCTGAGGCTCCAGCCAACTGGTTTCCGTTGGAATTCCATGGAATTCCAACATTCCACTTGGAATCCGCTGGAACTCATGGGGGATGGTAAAGACCTCAATGTTTGGGCAATGTGAACGAAAAAGCGAGACAGTAAGTCAGTGATGATATCTCCTTCAGGACCAGTGATCACGGAACAGTGGCGGATCCAGTTGATGAGATGTAAAGCAACACCACGAGCATAGCAGATAGCAAAGTGTTTGCTAATAGGAATAGTGTTGATTTGGTGGGCAATCAGGATTTGCTGATTCTTGTCTGCTTTCGTGTATTCTTCTTGATTCGGCACACGATAAGTCCTGAAATCCAGGACATTCCCCAAGATGACAAGCACACAAGCAGAAATTAAATTCATCAAACCATTGATGTTGTCAACGCTTGGTAAATGAGATGCAGCAGGGTCTGTGTTATGCATGTAAGAAAAAGATTTATGGGAGGTAGAAAGCATACTAGATTTAGGAATCTCATCTTCGATTAGCCCCATGTGATAGAATAGGGTCATGTGCCGCAACAAAATGCGAGGTCTTATCAGTGCCTCCCATTTTGAATGACACACACCACCATGCCCCCCAGATGACAACCCTAGCACCCGAAGATGAACACGAGCACCCACGAGGCTTCACCGCCCACAAATTACTACACGACGCCCACAAATGAGAACTCCACGCCCACGAACAACACCCATCGCTCACCCAGTGCCAAATGCCCATGAAACGGCGCCGACCGCCCACTGCTCACGACGACAACACCCACAGCCCACCCAACAACCACCCGTAAATGAATGCCCACCGCCCATCGCAAATGCCCATCGCCCTTCGCAAACGCCCACCGCCCATCGCAGATGCCCACCGCCCATCGCAGACGCCCACCGCCCATCAACAACGCCCACCGCCGCCCACCGCCGCCCATCGCAAATGCCCACCGCCCATCAAAAATGCCCATCGCAGACGCCCACCGCCCATCAACAACACCCACCGCCACCCATCGCAAACGCCCACCGCCCATCAACAACACCCACCGCCGCCCATCGCAAACGCCCACGCCCATCGCAGACGCCCACCGCCCAACGTCAACGCTTACTTTACAATTTTCGTGCATTTCCCTAGAATACCAACGAGGCATGCCTCTGTATTTCATTTTACAGTAAATTCCTGAACCCCAGAACACAACAAGACAGCAGGAATCCCACCTGCTGTCTTGTTTGTTTGCCTGGCTTACATCTCCTGTACATACTTAGAATCAAAATGAGGTGGCGTTTTCACACTGCCTCTTACTTTGAAATTTTGATTAATTACTGAAAATAGACATCTGAAAGAAACCCTCAACCCTAGCTGTGTGTGTCTAAGTTCCCACATCTTTCTTCCCTTCCCCCTTCATCTTGCTTCCTGTCCCCTTTGTTCTTGCAGTCCCACTTGGCTCTTATACCTTCTAATCTTGCTGTCTACTGCTATGAGTGCAAGAGAACTTCGATCTTTACAAGCTGGGGTGAATTCTCCCCCCAAACGAGGCCGGAAACGTGGCCAATCCAATACTGAGGCAACAAACACCAAGCGTGCCAAGGCCACCACCAAGAATGATGTTGAGGGGAGTGGTGAGGAAGAACCAGAGGCTGGAAAGGGCACCACAAAGGGAAAGAGCGGTGGTAAGAAGGGGAAAAAAGCAAGGTGAGTGGCCTGTTTTATACCAGTACTTGCATACTAACTATTTTATTCAGAATGACAGGTGCCCAGCGAGCTGCCAAAGACAAGGCTGAGAATGATAAGGGTGTCCCAGCCCAGCTGACACTGTGAGCTCTTTGATCTTTATTTGATTATTTCTAATGTGATGTTGATAGGGTTGAGCGAGCTCTTGAAGCTGCTGGTACTTCTGTTGCACCCCCAAAGCGTACTGGCAAATTATCCACCCCTTCCTTCCTTCCTCCTGCTCCTACCCTTTCGAGCAGCCGTTCTCGTATCAATCATGAGCCAGAAGTTACTGCTGGACATGAAGAAGTAAGTGGTGAGGAGAGTGATGAGGAAGATGGAGATGAGGGAGATGAGGTTGATGAGGTTGATGAGGGTAGTGATGGGAAAGATATCCGATTTGGCCCACCAAGTGGTCGTCATCAGGCCAAGTCTGGTTCTGGTCATGAGGAGCCCTTGGCCAAGGGTAATATTTTATTTTATGTTTCAATCTTTTATTTATTTATTATGATCTATTCATAGATATTGATCTTTCCAATTTGGCACCTCCTGAGACAGAAGTCCCTGCTAATGGGTCTTCCCATTCTACTGGGGGTATTTTGTGTGGGCGTGCTGTTGGAAATTCGTTCAATATAGGTGACTCCATTTATGATGCGCCACAAGAGGTCAGACCCCTTTCTAATGGTCGCATTAACATCACAATCGTCCAACAACCTCCTTCTGATGTTGTTATCGACAATGCCACATCACATCTAAATGTCAAGTCCCCCTGTTTTGAGACATTGGGCCCACTTCTGAAAAAGGTGGCCAAGAGCTATTCCCCTGTTCGCAGTAAGTGTTTGACTATATATAAATATACAAAGTTTAATAAAGCTTCATCTCAGATCACAATTATCGTGTCTATATTTTGGATAAGAAGCAGTGGTCCATCATGGGCCATTACAATGTAGTAGTTGAGGATGATGAGGATGCTATTTGGGAGGAGGATGACATTGGTAAAGTTACACATATTCTTCTGGTATGTTTTATTGGCTATTCTTGGCTTAAATTTTATTTAAATTATGTCTAGGAAAACGACCATGAGCAAATGGTCGCTTCTGCGATTCCACCATCATTTCATCAGTGCTCTGTCTCTCTAGGCTCTCATTCAGGATCTGTTCCTCGCTCTTCGTCTGTTGCTTCTGATTCTCGTGGACAGTCTCGGGCATCATCTATTAGTAGATCTGAGGTGACTGGTCCTTCAAAGCTTTCTAGTGCCAACAAAGCACTTCTGTTAGAATATCTTGGGATTGACAGAGATCTTGCTTCTCTGGATAAGGTTGGGTTACAGTCAGCCTATCAGAAGTTTAAGGCTATCATCAATGCTACACCTAAAGTTATGGGCTTGAGCAAGGATGCTGAGTGGAAGTCGCAGTTTGATGATGGAGCTGCCTGGGTTCCCAACATTGTTGACTTTATCCATATCTTTATCGCTAAGACTCAGTTCTACCAAGTCTGGAAGCCTACATTCCTAAGAGCAGAGGAATATCCAGATATGCGAGACTGGCTTAATGAGGAGGAGGATTGCCTTGCTACTGAGGATTTGTGGGACTTAAGGAGCAGTCGAGTGCTGAGCTTTCCTGATTTGAAGAAATGGCTTGACAAAAAAGATCGTGAGGGAGAGTTGAAGAAGCGTGGTGATCTGAAGGGGAAGAGAAAAGCTCCAGACAGTCCCAAGAAGAATCGTGATAAAGATAAACATGTGGAGCAGAGAAAGCACAAGAAGTTGAAGCAGGCAAGGGTTAGGGATTTGGATGAGGAAGCTTCTGACACTGCGGGCCCTGGCTTATATATCCACTGGGAATAATGTGAAAAAATGGGGTAGATATTAATAATAATGCTACCTTTTAACTACCGGAATTAGTTGAAAGATATTTAAAATCTTTTATTTCATTTTATCAATTTTTTTTCGTCGGAATTATTAAGAATTACGTGGGTGGATAAACTTCGAAGATATTGGAAGAAGATATTTCTACTAAAGGCAATCCATATGTGCACAGAGAATATGTGGAAGATATGTGACACGAGGTGAAGAACTTCCCAATATAGCAGTATTCTCGGATCTAATTAAACACCTGCTTGATAAGGCTACATTCGCTGGACGTCAGCACTTGCTTCCATCTACGACCTCGTCGCAGCATACAACAGCAACCAAAGCTCAGCGTTCAACGTTCAACATTCAAAATGGACACAGGAACGCGCCCAGCAAGGAGATCCGCAGTTTCACCCAACGTGAGGACCACATTCTCTCTTATGCAAATTTTCAGCTAACAAAGCCTGCTTCAAATTTCGTTCCACTACCTACAAAAAAACCCGACAGACAGACAGAAGGGCGAGCAAGGTAACGATAATGCGATGCGAAGACTTTCAAAACCAACACGTGAACGCCGCCGGAAGGGGGCGGGATAGAGGGCAACGAACAGATACGCTACGGACAGCTGGCGTTTTGCGTTTACAAGCTAGGATAGGCTCGTGGTGAGTAATAAATGCACCCAGGCCAATGCTTGCAACCAGCCTGCGAGATTGCACTTTTCCGCCGGCTGACTTAAAATGGCTCTTAATCTGCACCTCTTGGCTGCGGCGAGCGTTGTAGGGTGAAGTTCAACATGAGCGGGGCCCCTTTGCGTTTGAAGTATGGATTCACAATTCTCAGGGAACAGCCAGTTTGTCCGTCAACATCTCCTCCGAAAACTCTCGCCGTACAACTTTCTATTTCTTCGCTGCTACAACTCTCGAACTCGCATTCGACAGTTGTATAGCATCCC